TCGAGCTGGCAATCCGGTCACGTAAAAGCCCTCACCAGCAGGCAAACCTAGAAAAATGAGAAGGGGTGGTAGCCATCCCGGAAGAGTTGATTCCGACCCCTATTAGCGGCCGGGGGTTCCTGATCCCAGGTTGGGGATTTAACCAAGGGCTTATCCGATCGGGATGCCGAGCCTGGTATGACGGGTGTAGGGCAAAGCCTCCCAGGGAATCCTGCACCCTGAGGTTATGTGGTGGGGGGATACCCCCCGGCCCCTACTCTTCCTCGTTAGGAGGCTTGCCTGGTGCCGAGGCGTCGCCCAGCCGGAGGCCCACAAATGGGGTCAATCTGCGGCGAGCGTACCGTGTCACTGTCATTGTCACTGACAGGGAAGGATACAAGCTATGCATCGGTCCCTGTGGCACTGGTACTAGGAACATCAATAGCTCATACCTCTTAGACTTCGCAAGATCTAGGAGGCTAAGGATTGGGGGTTCGTAGTACCAGAGACAAGATTTACACCACTGGACTTGGTATTCCAAGACTGTCATTGTAGCTAAAGAGATCGACCATATGCTTGTAGAGTTTTTAGGAGTATGCAGTGGCAGTCTCTAATCGGTTTGAGATGCTTGGCACTCTACAGGACCCTGCTGAACTGTAGGATACTTTTAAGCGGGAAATCCTGTCAGCTGCTGAGGAGTGCCTTGGGGTCCGAAGAAGGTGTGTTGTTTCGAATGAGATGCTGAACACTATAGAGATGAGTCATGCTGCCAAACTGGATGGGAACCATGTTCTGTACAGGGAGCAGTCTCACTCTGCTAGGGCCTCATTGGGAATGGACCAAGAAAGGTAAGGTTGGGGCATCATGGAGGAGTTGAAGGACATTTTGCCCAAAATGACCTTTGACCTACTTTCCGAGCTCTGAGGAAACTCACATTGTGTCGGAGCTGGATGAGTATAGGGCCCACTGGGTTGAGTGCTTTGAACAACTGTATAGGTAGATCTGTCTTCACAATTCCCCTTGGCTGGCACACAGCCACTAGTGGCTGATCCACTAATCAGTGAGGCACCACCTTCCATCAAAGAGGTGAGAAGGGCAGTCTCTAGGCTGAAGAGTGGAAAGGCTGCTAGTGTCTGCGGGATGGCTGCAGAGTTGTTGAAGGTGGGTGGAGAAGCCATGATCTGTGACTTGCATGCAGTCCTGTCTGCCGTTTGGGAGACTGGTACCATTTCTCCTGGAAAAGGGGCTTGGTCATCCCTGTCTGGAAAGACAAAGGAGACCAAAGGGACTGTGGCAACTACAGAGGTATTACATTGCTCAGTGTACCAGGCAAGGTCCTCGCTCATCTGCTCTCGATCACCTGGACCAAGACCAAGGTTCAGGAGTTTGGGGACTTGATGAATGTCGATGTTCAGTCTGTAAATGACTGTGGCGAGAACACTGAGGTCTTGGATAGCTTCACTTATCTTGGTAGTACGGTGCAGAGCGATAGAGGTTCCGACTGGGAAGTTACTCGACGACTCGGTCTGGCCTACAGTGTTATGGACTCATTCCATAGGAGTATTTGGCGCTGTCGGTATTTGACTAGGAGGACTAAGATGAGGCTCTTCAGAGTACTGGTGATCCTGGTCTTACTCTACAGGAGAGACCTGGACACTGAACAGTACTCTGAAAGCCCGTCTTAACTCATTTGGTCTTTGCTGAATCATGGGGTATACTTGTAGGGACCATGTGTCCAGTCAGAGGATACTCCTTGAGACTGATTCAAGACCTGATATGAGAGTGCCAACTCCAGCTCTATGAGCATGTGGCTCGTTTTCCTGAGGAAGATCCGGCTTATAGGGTCATCTCCGAGAGGGTTGACCCAGGCTGGAGAAGACCAAGGGGAAGGCCACGGAACTCTTGGCTGAAGCAAGTCGATCAGATCTGCCAAGATGTACTGATGGAGGTAAAGGTTGGGCGCGGAAAAGCGCAGCCATGGGTATGCCCCCTTATGATGATGATGATGATGATAGTGGTATAGTAGCAAGTAGTGGTAATAGTGGTAGCAATAATTAGTAGTATGAGTGATAGTGGTATATACCAATATGAGAGTGATAGTTATAGTGTTAACAGCGATGGAAGTAATAAGTAGTAATAATGATAGTACTAGCGTTATTAGTAAGTGTCGAAAACTGGTAAGTAGTAATGGGAATAGTATATAGTAGTATAAAGTAGCTGCAATAGTGGTAGTAATAATAACCAGTAAAGAGTACCCTGTTGGTCTCATTGTAAACAGTTTTAATTCAAGGTTAAAGAGTATTCACCATACTTAGCTTATGTAGTGTTGGCAAATGTTTAAGAATACATATTGGTACAGTTACGGAAAAGAGTTTATGTACCCCCTCAGGTAACGTAACACCATACTCGTTGTAAATATGATATTTGTGAATGAATAGTTTTCTACGTGTGTGATTGGTGCATGGTTATTCGGTCTTGGCCGATTACTCTCTCTCTCTCTCTCTCTCTCTCTCTCTCTCTC